ACCTAACCCCTGAGCCACATCAACAACACACAGCCAGGTATGAAAGACATGTGTGAAAATATCAACATTTTTTTCCCCCCTCTCTTTTTGAATGTTTAAAATGTGCTTTCAGCCTCTGGGTGCAAACAATTCCGCATATTTAGCAAGACAAAAAAAAAAAACACAAGACAGAGCAGGATCACACTGAGGTGTTTATGTTGAAGAAAACAGAAAGTGAACTCCTCAGCTACATGGATTATTTTGTAAAATATCATAATTTCTGAGTGACATTTTAGCGTGCAGCGCGTCGCTCTTGAGGTTCTCCTGTGGTTCAGTGTTTCGTGAAACAAATCGCGTTCTATTTCAGTTTCACTCACGCAATCATAAAACACAGAAATAACAGAAAACATTGCTTTTACAATATCTTAATAAACTTTTTACCTCATTGTTTTTCTGACGAAATGGTTTCCAACCATGTCTAGAATACAGCCCTAAATCATGACAAAGCCTCCCTAAATTTTAACTGAAGGTTCCAAAAATGTTTTGTTTTATTTTTTCCTGACATGTTTGTGTTACTGCAACATGAACTCATGTTTTTTTTACTCTGTATATGACAATAAATGTGAATCCAAAATAAACTTTCATCATCATTAAATCTTAAATCTTGTATCTTTTTTTACTGAATTTCAATGAAAATGAATGTTATGAAGTATGACAGTCATTCATTGGTCAACGTCATCCATCATTAAGAACCAAAACATGAGCATCAATGCTCCACTCAGCTGAATGTCTTGGGGAGGTGAACGTACACCATCCCCTCTCTCGTGCGCGTGACGCCGTCAGGCAGAGAGTGAGAACCAGTTGATACTGTTCACCTTAGAAATAATAACCCGGAATCAAAAGGAATATCCTCTCCATTGAATAAACAACGTCAGCGCAAGGAACACAGAAAAGTTTGCTCTTGGTTTGAACGCAGCACATCAGTGCAGAGAGACGCTTTTAGAACAAGGAAAAATTCCACGAGGTTATTAAACATTTTCCCAGAGCACAGACGCGGAGGCACGCACGTTGAACCGGAGGATCTCCGGGTGCCGCTCCCCCGACAGACTCGTGCATTACTTCTCATCCATCCGTCTAATTATTCCCTCAGAAACCTGAAATTTGAAGATACAAAAGACCGTCCCTATCTGTCACCCGGCGCCATTGATCTTATTGAAAGAAAATGTGGGCGTAGAGGAGAGAACCCAATATAACTCATGCCATTAAATTCCACACAGCATTATTCACACACGGAATTGACAGATTTCGCTGAGACGTTTCTTTTAATCTTCAACTGTTGTTGAAGAAGAAGGGGGAGGAATCCTACACTCCAGGCATCGCCGCCTCTTCCATATTTGCGGTGAGGTTAACAAGAAAGGCTATTGAAGTGAGGAGGGAAAACACCAACCTTCCTAACTTGTTGATTATTAACAATGGCGACGGGGGAGAAGACAGATGTGCTTCTTTATGTGTTTGAATTGTCAGTCTGAAATCAGCGCCCGAGCTCTTATCAAAGCAGAGTAAGCTGATCAATTCCAGATGCTGCGGCCGTCCATGCGAGTCAATCCGCCGCAACACTTTTGTCAATAAATTCTCATGATATTCCCAATTACCCACTGTGTGTGTGGATGTGAGCGTCGGGAGACGTGTGGGTACACACCAGGCAACGTGTGATAAATGCAAGCCAGGGGAATATTTTATCCCAAAAGCCTCGGCTGCCTCCGCCGCGTTCACACTCCCCCAGACTCACGCGAGCCTAACAATCACTGTACAGTGTGGAGAACAAAAGTTTGTAAAAACACAGACTTGCTCTTTTATTTTTGATGCCAGTGTGTGTCACCTACAGTGGGTGAAAAGAGCTCATCGTCTCCACTGCTGACTGAGGACTTTGATGAAGTTTGGGTAAAGATTGGTTGTTTTTTTTGTTTTTTTTTGCTGCGGTTCATTGACATGTCAAGTCAGAAAGTCTTCTGCAAAGACTTCAGAAACACGTCTGCTTCCTCAACCACCAAGCCACCACTGGCCCTCAGAGATGACTCATTGGTAGTGACAGGCTACATGAGTTCTCCACCATGGGCTGAAATGCAGCCCTAAATCATTACAGAGCTTGTCTATTACCTTCACGAAGGCCTTCACATTTACTGATCCATTTCCTTCCAGATCCCTCCCTGACACAGTGACAAACCGTCAACACTGACTTCAAAATGTCCCTCCAGTGGAGTCTTCGGACCGACTCCATTTTTTTATGCCCTAATTTTCCATCATTTGACGGTTGTAGAGATTCCGGTTACTCAGATAAAGACTCAGATTTGCCTGAAAGCTTGTGAAATACTTTGTTCTGTAAATTGGGCAACACCAATAAGTCACTACTTCTGTCTTCTCTGTGTTCGGTGTCAATCAAAACTCTGTTGTTTTTCCTGTCTATCATCATTTTGTCTCCCTGGATTTGAAACCTCCCTGGTTGACAAACTAGTTAGCAGCGACCTCAGCTGATCTCAGCTCAGCCTTGTCAACCACCTTAGGACGTGTCTCTCGGCCTGACCTTGGGGACACCCAGGTCGCACTCAGCACAGATGTTCCTGCACATTATTTCAGCCACGTGGTTTTGACACCCCCCTGTATGTTACCGCTGTCTGCATCTTGTATTCAGTTATTATGAGCTGAACTGTTTCAGGGGCATCAGAGTCTGCACCTGAGGCCCTGTCTGTGGTGATGGGCACCAGCTGCTGGATAACTCCAGGGCTAATCTTGGTACAGGGACTCGGGGTTCTGGTACCAGGCGTTTGGTCATATCCTGTGGGCCCCCCAGGCAGAGTGCTTAATTGCTTCTGGCCCACTTCAGGCATTAGTGATGGTGCTACATGTGCATTCATACCAGCTGGAACGACAACTAGGTCAACGATGTGTGTGTGTGTGTGAACCGATATTTATTTGTTGATCCTTTCCTCCCCTTCTTTTTTTTTTTTACCCTATTATTTATTGAAAAATTATCTTTTTGTTTCAACTGTATTCTGTTCTCTCAGTCGACTTCAACCTGACATCTTGAGCTGATCAAATATGAACCCCTCCTTTCAGATATGTGGCTGACTTGTTTTTTTTCTGGAGTCGACTTCCCACAAGAAAGGTCATAAAAAATCACGACTCTTGGTCTGCAAGGATCAGGTTTTTATTCAGCTGCTTCAGCTCCAGCCAAACTCCCAACTGGCACGTCTGGTTCCCAGGTACTTGGATTTTCTTCATTTCTTGTTTTCTTCTCCCTTCGTGTTGGATTATCCTGCCTTTGTGCTTGTGCTGCTTTGGTTTAGTGAGTAGTTTGCATTTGTATTTGCTGACCTTGTGCAGGATCAGCTCACAGCTGAGCCTCGGAGGAGACTGACTGTTGTATGTTATAAATCTCTAAATAAATCCCTACCTCAGCCTGTCCTGCTGTGATTAACCGTTGGCTCTGGCGAGCTCTGTTTCTGTTATCCAGTGGGCAAACGTTAGTCTCAAAAGCTAAATGCTTTTGCTTCTTCTCATGGAAAATATTTTATTTATAGAAAACAATAATGAGGTACCAGCACACTTTACTTATAGACGGCAGTATTTGAAGGTGTTTACAGCACCCCCTGCAGGGGAGGGAGAACTTAATTCACATAAATACAAATATATTTTTTAGAAATGATTCTACTGTTCCAGGTAGATGGCTAAATAACAGAATGATCAAAAATAATAAACAATAAATACAAGTCAGTTGACTCCATATTCTATCTATATTTGGAAGATGATATTTTGTCTTTTTTTTTCTCCTAGAATTCACATTAAGTTCTGAAAGAGACCCAACACTGGCTATTGAAATCATTTGTGTGAATGTTTTATGACATTATGAATAATATTTCAGTGAAAAGTAAGCATATTTTTACTTGACAACTCTTCCTACTGAGATACTTCCTGTGCCTCATTATGAATCAGAAGATACTCTGATGTAAATGCACAATAGAGTCGAATGTGGATGAGGATTGGACTCAGATGACGAGGTGAAGAAACACATACAAAAAATTGAGAATTAAAAAATGATGCTTTCCATAATAATTTAAAGATCATAATAATCAACAATTCACCGACTCACTGCGTTGTTCAGTGTTATTCCTGTGTTGACGACTGGGTTCCAAACAGGGTCATCAGGACAAATCCATGCTGGGACTCAGTGGCTGTCATCACAGCATTGACAGCAACAAATGGCCTTTTCAGTTTATTGGGAATCTTTCCCCACCTGAGTCTGTGTGCTGTCTCCAGGCCAATATGACAGAGAGGTGGCTGTCGGTGTCAAGTGCTGACACCACAACCACTCAGCTGCTGATGCTGCGACAGCTGCACCTGTTGCAAACCTTGCATGTTCCGAAACATTTCAAAAATCTGCTAAATCTTACAGTTTTTTTGACATGTTTACTTTGCTGTGGTGAACAAGCGTCACCCTTCTGGTGTCAATGTTTTGACTGATAAGATGCAGGACAGCTACTTGCAACACCACAAAAACAAAAATCCCCTGTTTGCTGTATCAACCAGAATCACCCGAGATCGAATTCACAGTGGCAACAACACCAGTAGAAAAGAATTAGAGTGACGTTAACTGCTGCTAAAAGTGCAACTTAACTTTTAAGAAATGTAACTAATTATTTTTAACAGTGACAGTGAAACATTTTTATGTATAATTTTAGAATCTGGGAGCTGAAATACATTCAAATCCCCCTGTAACACAGAGTATTGTAATCCTGGCTAAATTAAACAAAAATGAACAAAATTAAGAAATAAATTTAAAGTAGATGATTGATGATTGTCCACTGGTCATTACAAATGCACACTGTGGATTACGAGACAAACCACTGAGCAAGATTTGAGCCGCTGACCAGCCCACCATTGCGACGGCTGGACAAGGTATACTCAAACTGTGACGTCATCGTTGAGCTACCTGTGCCAAGACTTTCTTATAACTGCACGACTTGATGTTTTTTTTTTTTGTCAGATGGTCAAAACTTGTTACACTCTACAGAAACTTGTCAAACTCGTCTAATTTGGGTACTTTGTACATTTAATAGTCACTAAAATAAAAATATAAAACTGTTTTGACACAGTATGCAGAATCTCGCGGTATTTGACAGCTTCCCTCCACTCTTTGACACTAGCCCCTCCTCTGCGCTCCGGGAATGCTGCCTTGTTTACATTACTGGCACACGGGTCAGGAGTGTGGTGATGACTGGGGGGAGGCCTAGTGGAGAGAGACACTGTCTGAACACACGTCCACATCACGGCTGCTTCCACAGAACAGACTCTCTGTGTCCGCTAAAAAAGTTTGGAGCGATCAGACACAGCGGTGCCACGCAGGACAGAGAGGCCCCGCCGTGAGGAGTGTCTGCAGCGACCTTGTACGAGGAAAAGGGAAAGTCAAAACAAAGACGAGCGCCATAACCATCCGCAGAAACTGTCAGCGTGAAGGAGGAATAGCTAAGCAACAGAGTCACACTTCCTGGTAAGAAATCACGCACTGAAGCCCATGATGATGAGCCACAGAAAACTAAAGCTGCTGCTGAAGCTCGTGTCTCTGCTGTGAGCCCGGTCCTCCGCTGCCGTCTTGGACAGTTGTTGTTTTGTCAGGAGTACGGAGCTCACTTTTAAAAAAAGTTTCTGCCAAGTTGGCTAACTAGCTTAGCGTGTTAGCTGACTAGCATGCCGGACTGTTAACTTTCACTACCACTGAAATGACAGTGTAACACTTTGTCCCTGAAAGTTAGTAACGGTCATTTAACGGCCGTATAACACTATGCGAAATGTTTTTCCACCGCAGTTTTGTATTATTTACATATTTCAAAGCCGAAAATATGGCCATGTAGTGGAAACAAATCAGTAGCTACGCGTTGACGACACACGAGAGTTTGATTTGTTGTGATGTAATAGTTAATTTGCTAACGCGTTAGTTTGTTTTGATCCCAAAGTTAATTTCGTCTCGTCATATTTTGCCTCATAGTTTACTTGGGCTCACTGTTAGTTTTTTTTGTGTTTGTCTTTGCCATAAAGTCACGTTTGCGCGTTAGTTTTTGTGTGTTTGTCTTTGCCTTAAAGTCACGTTTGCGCGTGTGTGTGTGTGCGCGTGTCCCCAACACTCCATAGCTGTAACAGCCTGCATCTACAGTAGCTACATTAAAGGTAAAGTATTCAGGAGTTCGAAAACTAACCCTAACCATAAGTATGTAATGCAGACCTCTCATTTAAGTTTAACTGAGCACCTACAAGCTAATAAGTAAACACAAAGTTACATGTCAAGTCATCAGGAATTTCTTAAAAAGTTAGAAGAAATATTGAAACTTTTTTTTAACCATTTGGTTAAAAGCAATTGTCAGTAATAGAGTAATTCCAGCCCATTGGGTGGCAGTGAGAATTGAAGGATCTAAGCATCTAAGGATGTTATATATTTTCATGTCATTGTATTGTTTTTATTTAGCCCACCCCCTTTTACTAAGCATCTAAGGATGTTATATATTTTTATGTCATTTTATTGTTTTTGGCATTTTGGTACATCACGATTGGGGGTGGACAGCTCTAAAGAACAGCACAGCTCCGTGCAATATTTAGCCCACCCCCTTTTCATGTCCTCTTGGCTGACCATCTACAATCCGTGGCTTGTTCACCTGATTTAGTAGGTAAATGTAATACTTGTGGTCCAGCCAAACAGAGTTTAAAGGAGTTTGAAGATTCAGTTTGCATAAATCGATGACATTGCAAATTCTTGTCTCTAACAGAGCAAGCAGTCATCTGCGGTATGTCTGTCAAGCATGTTGACATTACATACTTCCAGCTTGCTTTTTTAACTGTTATAAATATCCAGCCCGTGAGTTGGGTTTCATTTGGAGGAGAAATGCTGTTTTTATAGAGAGAAAGTTTACTTGAATAAAAGGATACATTTCTTAAGCACTTTCTTAGTGGAGAAGCTTTTTCCTGTGTGACTCACTCACTTTTTTCAGTGAGTCAGAGTGGTTATTGCGAGACGTTATGTCTTTCTTTTTTTTTTAACTGATCGAAACAACAGATCTGCTAGAGGTTTAATGGATCGTCTTCTGTCATTGTGATTATTACTGTTGTTAATGTAAACATTATTATTGTTAATATTGTGCTTTGTTGACAACTGTTCATACGCTAAGTGCATTGTCTGATATTCATTGGGAGTTTATAGCTCATCTCTTGACTGTAGGCTGTGGATGTTCCGAAATCTGTAAGAAGAGAGTTTCGGATTACTTGCGTCAGTTTCACTCCTGAATCTTAACTCTTCATAGAGTGGATCACAGGCTGCTATTTGAATAGTAAATAACAGTAATTGGTGTGAGTACAAAAACATTTTAAAAGACACCTCTAAAGATATAAAGCCTTAGCCACAACATGGCGATTATTTAACAATAAGTTGTTGAGGGCTATTATGATTATTGACAATATCGGTGTTTTTATTATAATTGTTATTATTGCTATAGATGCGTGCAGCAGTAGTGCTGACTTTTTAGTAGCTCACCTGGGGTCTTATGTTTTTTGATCAACCAGAAAACCTAAAACATTATCTCACCCCTGTTCCTGTCGCTGCCTATCACAGCCAAATATCTCAGGCTTCATACACATTTGGCAGCGATGCACCGAGATGATTCAGAGGAGAGTTGGGGAGTACTGACATACCTTGTTGACCCAATTATTACTCACTTTTCTGTTGCCACATTTGATCATCGTCAGAGACAACAGGCTGGAATACGCCAACCTCATCAGGTGATGGAGATGAACACCGGCTGCCTCTGTGAAGCTGCATATCAAGGAATGTGTCATGAACCGGATGATCAGCAAATCACTGCCAAATGTTTGTGTCAGCCAGTCTTTGTGCTGAGGGATTGCTGCCAGTATATCTGGCTTTGAATTACTTTGCGTAGATTATTTTTGACAGGTTCTGGCAAGACTTAATGATTTAGTCCTGTTTTAGTGTTAGTTTTTTTTTTTTAGTGTTATAACAGCAGTGTTGAACCACAGTGTCTAATCATAATGAATGCCAACTGCTGTGAACAGAGGCATAATTCATTGATGCAGAGGAATATGATTACATATTGCATATTTTGATTTGTTGGGAATTGTCTAATATTGTTTTATGTGATGCTTTATTATGCAGCCAAATCCGATGGCATTATTGTTTTTGGATGACTTCTGTTTGTTGTACATGACACACACACACACACGGCATTGCATAAAGGCCACACAAATTGAGTAAATGTGGCCTAAAGGTAATGGTAAAGCAAACTGATTTCATTTCCCTATTAGCCTCAGAATTGTGTGTCCATATCACGTCCATTCAGTCTGAGAAAGAATCACCACATAAACACACAGCTCTTTACCTCTGAGAAAGAATCACCACATAAACACAGCTCTTTTAGTGGTTTTTATTGTTTTCATAAAATGTATTGATTTGCTGAATCCATACAGTAAATCATCTGTGTCACTACGGTTTTCACGGCTTTGTTTATTTCTTTTCGCCATGACATTTAGTGAAAGTATGAAATGTTTCTCATTGGTTGTGGCGAAATCCGCTGCAGCCACAGGAGTGAGTTAGCACAGTGGAATTCACCAAATCGCTGTATCCTGTGAACTTCCTGTTCTAGCCCTGCAGCAGGCCTCGACACTGGATTAAAGATCAGATGAGACATTTGTCATCTGACCACTCTAACAGTCATCTTGCCCTTGGGGTTTTCACAAAGAACAAAAATGTTCACTTTTTCCCATCTTTGAAAGCATATTTAAAGAAAGATGCTTCCTTAGGCGACTCTTCAGCTACATTAAACACTGTCTTTTGCATGATGTCAAAGGCCTTGGCCGAGCTTTGTGCAGAAACGATGCTGGCAAAGGTAGCACATCTCATCTTTGGATATAGGCAACTGTGATGTTCTGGCTTTGCAATTAGCTGTTACATTATCAGATGATGAAAAAGCAGCAGAATATAAAAGAAAGCAGCCAGATTCTTTCCCCACAAGAGTTCAAAATGGTCTTTTTTTCCAGTCTCAGTTTGGTTAGGGTTTAGAGCAAGGTCTTTGGCAGTGAGAATGAGCTGTCTAAGCTGCTTCTTACAAACCCCCTCACAGAGCGGGCCTGTCAATATTTTTCATATCTATCTCCGTTTTATCTCATGAAGGGTCAGTGATGTTTCAGGCGTTCACACATCCTCGGAGGATGCCTCACGGCTCCTGGTGTCACGTGAACGTTCTCCGTTTCACAGTGGTGTCGATGCCTTCCCTCATTGGGTTAGGCAGCGCTCTGGGGGAAACAGACTACAAAGACATGCAAACACAAAAACTCTTGACCTAGGACCCTTCTTAAAGTTTATGAAACGAAGACAGTGCCCCTTGGTCAATTTAAGGCATGACCACACAACATCCGCTGTTTCAGTTCCTCGCTGCAGTTATTGGAATAAATATATTCAGATATTTTTCATGTTGTTTCCTTTTCTCTCTCTGGGCTCTGAAAGCATGTTGTATATTATCCTGATATGAATTTAATTTACGAGTGTAGTAAAACAAATGAATAACCATTAACAGCATTGTTCTGATGACAATAACAGGAGCCTTAAGAGAAAATAACAAGTAAAGAATAGTATGATAACGCCTACCCTTTTCTACTGCACACTGGAGAGGTTAAAGAAGGACCTTAGAAATGTTTTGTAGTAAATATGTTCTTTAATAATGTAATGGAAACAATGTACAGCTGGCTGTTTGTGTTGATTTGAAGTCCTGATTGTGAGTCCTAATTTGGGGATAAAAATAACCAGAACGATTTGTTCTCGCAATTCTGCAGTGTGAATGTGTGTACATTCACACTGCAGGACTTGCAGTGTGAATGTGTGTACATTCACACTTCAGGACTTGTGGACAAGTGGTTGCCATGTCTGATTTTGTTTTAACGATGGTATGAACATGGCAAATCAGATCTTTCCAATCCAATTCCTTTTTTGTGTTCCACAATCAGTGTCATGGAAAATGTACCATGTCTTATTCCCAACTCCCTGGGTGGCCTTGGGAAGGCTAAGGCTAAGTCCCCATGGATACTACTACCAATGCAACCACTGTTCCTTCTTCCGTCTTGAGAGAAGCCGTAGATCAGAATGGCTTCCGTCTTGAGAGAAGCCGTAGATCAAAATGGATGGTCAGGAACATGATCTTATCTTGCACTAGATCAGTTCGACATCATCATGTTTTTAGTTTGTTCACAACACTAGCACGGCAGTAGCAGCAACAACAAAGCTTGTGCAATTCATAAATTCTGATCCTAGATGTGGTTTTACTTCTAAGCTCAACCAACACAAGTCTGCATGTGTCAGAATGCGGTCTTCCAACCTACATGTTTTCCCAAACTCCTCTGGGAAGCATTATGTTACACAGGCTGGTTTGTCCTTGTAAATCACCCAGTTTTTTTTTTTGTTTCTACATGTTTCCAGATTAAATAAAGCTTCAAATCAGT